CGGGAACCCTAAAAACTCATGCCACTCCACGCTGGACTGCCGGAACATGGCCCGCCGGTGGCTGGTCGTGCCCGCCTGCTCCATGATCTGCCGCGCGTACACCATGCTGGCCACGTGCGACGAATGCGCCGCCTGTAAATCCGCGATGTGCGCCATCCACTGCTCCGCGTCCATCCCCTCCTCGTGATCGGCATTGAATAACTCCGCCGCGGCCGGCTGCTCCTTCTCGTCGTGGGCGTCGCTTCTGAACGCGCTGGCCCCGCGCATGAACCGCCGGCTGATCCCAATGGCGATGTCCCGGTACGCGGGGATGTTTAATGCCTGGCCTAACCACGCCTGCGTCTCGCGCTTCAACACCTCGCGGAACCAGTCGGACGTCCACGCGCGCTGCGTGCCCGCATCGGGGCCCCATAAATACGGGCTGGCTAACCCTAACCCTAACCCTGATCCTGCCACCGCGGCGCCTGTGGGTTGGCTGGATGGGCGGGCGGCTAACCCTACCCTGGGCGCGCGAGCTTGGGCATCCTCCCTACCCCCATCTAACCCTAACCCTAATCCCCTGCCCGCTGGCTGGCCTGCTGGCTGGGCTGCTGCCTGCTGCTGCTGCTGCGCCGCCTGCCACGCGGTCAACTGCTCCGTGAACGGCAACACTAACCACATGTACCACACGACCAACTCCCCTACCGCCCGCGGCATGTACTGGTGGATCAGCTTGATGTCGTTGCTCGCGTGGAACCCCTTGTGGTACGCCGTCACTGCCGTCACCAGCCCATCCTCGATGAATATGTTGCGGTGCCGGCTGGCCTGCGTGTTAACGTGCTGGATGCTCAACAGCTCGGGCGCCCGCGCGGGCTGCCCACCAGTGATGTGGATGGCCACCGCCAGCTTCTCCTTGAACCGGGCCACGCGGCTTAAATACTGGGCCACCAGCTGGGCCTGCACCTGGCCGCGGCGCATAAACTGGCGCTGCATGGCCGGCTCGCTGCGCAGCCGCTGCATCAACCACTGTTTCCCATCTACGGGCCACCGCGTGCGGGTATCCTGTAAAAAACACCACCCCTTCTGGCCCTGCGTGGGGTCGTCGTACAATCTGGACCATGGGATGGGGGGGAAATTGGTGTTGCTGGTGGTGGTGGTGGTGGTATTAGTGGCGGTTGTGGCGGGCGCGGATATATATAATACCTCCCGCAGTAGCTCGCGCGCCGATCCCACCAAGCCATGAATGAAGCCGCGGAACGCGCCCATGGTGAAATGCACGTCCTTGTATAATAACTCGTCGCTGCCTATCCATCCCACATGCCCTGGCGCGGTGGTGTTATAATGCACCTTCAACCCGTACGTGCGCCAATCCAGCAACGTCTGCATGGGGCCGTGCGTGCCGCGGATCATGAAGCTGCGCACCATCTGCTGGACGTGGTCATGGAATAGCTTCTCACCTAACCCTAACCCTGATCCTGATCCTGATCCTGATCCTGGTGGTGATCCTGGTGGCGATCCTGATGGTGGTGGCGATCCTTGGGGTGGATCCCCTGGATGGATATGGATATCCACTAGCTGCTCGTCCGCGCTGGTCAACGGCCATGTAACGGGGTGGCTGCTGCCACTGCTGCCTGGCTGCCGGTGGCCCGTTCACATGCGGATAATCTCCTTCGCGTGGGGATCTAACCACAACGCCTTCTGCACCACCATGAAGCGCGCCACCTTGAGCACGCGGGATAATATGGGCGGGTAACTGCTGGGATCGCGCCAGCGCGCCTCGCCCCACCCTTGCACGGCCATGGCGCACACTAGCGCGCTCTCGTACTCATGCGTGTGGTGGCGCTGGTTTATTAGCTTGATATAAAACTCCAAGCATGCTTGCTCTATGGGGGTCATCTGCCACGCCTCCACCTCTGTATCTGTAGCCGTGACCCCATCCCCCTCATCCATCTCCTCGTCCATCTCTATCGCGGTTGGGCTGCTACTACCTAGGCTGGTACTAGCGCTGGGGCTGGCACTCCACACGTCCTCAATGATCTGGCCGGCCCCGGCGAACGTATGTATAACCCTCACCCCTGCCCTGGCTCCGGCTCGGGCTCGTGTATGGGCTTCAGCTTCGGCTTCGGGCCTCTCGACGGCTGGCATGGCTAGCTGCCATAACGCCTGCCACTTCTGGCGCTGCCGCGGCGTCATCCCATACGCGGGCAACCTCCCAAGCCACTTGCCATGGCCACTACCACCGTCACTACTATCACCATTATTATCCCTGTCCTGGCTCGCCTGGGCGGCCTGCGTGCGCGCGATGAATGCCAACACCTGCTGCCATGGCTGCACGTGCTTCTCGATGCTGGCCTCGTCCATGTACGCCTGCAATGGCTTGTATGGCGTCTGGCCGGCCTCCGTACGGGCCGCCTCCACACGGATGCCCGCGCCGCATTGCTGCACGGTCCGCTGGCTACGCCGCGCCAGCTGGTCCATGGCGTCCCAAATCACCCGCACGGCCTGCTTAGTGGGATCTGCCTTGGCATCCTTCTCTACTACCGCCTCCACCTCCTCCACCTCCTTCTCCACCTCCATGGGCGCCTCCACTAGCTGGCGCAAATCCTGTGGGTGCACGCCGTTTAAATACCTCGCCCACCCCGTTATGCGCAGCCACGGGTTGGCATTAGCCGCCTCGTCCGCCTGGATGGTGGCCTGCTCCGCTGCCTGCGCGCGCGCCCGCTCCCATGCAATGACCATGGCATCCACGGCCTGCTGGGCCTGCTCCGCGGGTGGTGGCGGCGGGCACTGGCGGCCGTCTGGGTATCGAATGTGGATGTAATAGGACCCGGGGCTGGATGGGAACACCTGCTGCCATGCCACCTGCGTGTATGATCGTGCTAGCTCGGCCTCCCCGCGCGCCTTCTCCCGCTGGCCCACGCGGCCACCACGGCTCTGCTGGGACCACTGGTGGATGGTCTTCTAGTGCTTCCGCATGGAGTTCATGCTAGCGGCCACGTACCGGCACTGCGTGGGCTCACGCCGGCACAAAACCCCATTGGTGTGACATGGTAAAATGGGCAGTGGCTGGTCTAATACGCGGGGGATCTGGATGGCCTGGCTATCCTGCTGCATCTCCTCCCACTGATGGACCATGTCAGCCACCTGGCTGGCTGCCAGGTAATTATACCCATGCTGCCGCTTTAAATGCTGCTGGACATCCGCGGGCCGTACGGCATGCTTACATGGGCGGCAAATGATAATCTGCAAGCTGGGGATCTTTTCAAATAACTAGTTCTCCATGGTATATAAATGAAATGAAATAAAACCACAAACTAAAACTGCCGACCTGACTAGAATCAAATAATGTAATGCGTGCAGTTCATGCGGGATGTGGAATATTCTAGGTTTGGCATGGGGCTCGTGGCGATCAATTATTTATTTATCTAAACAAACATTTATGGTTTCTATGGCAGCCTAGCTTGCATGGGAAATAGGCCAACCCCTGTGCTATCTCTATCCCGGTGCTGTACCTGTCATCCCATCTAGCGGCAGCGGCAGCGGCTAGCAAGCCAGCGTACCCCAACCTAAAAACAACCCACCACCTTTATACCTATGCCACACCACCATGCTACATCTGCGCGGCTTCTACTTTTGGCTACTAAAAGATAAGTGCCCGCCCTTCCATACAAGCTAGTTTTCAAGGCCCAGCGACCCTTGTGGGGGATACGGATGGGTGACCTTTCTAACCCGAATGGGTGAACTTAGCGCGTGTGTTTCCCGGGCCGCTAAACCTTTTTGGGCCGAACCCCAACCCTGATGGGCCCTCATCGGGGTACCCCCCCTGGGTTAGGCATTCATGATAATATAGCACTCATCCACCACCATGCGGTCCAACCGGCGCATTATCACTAACCGGTTAATAAACGATTGGAAATCGCTCGTCACCGCGGACTCGGGCGTCACCAACACGATGGCGGCCTCGTCAGGCGGCCGCTGCCGGTCCCATGCCACGCATGACACCCCTAGCTGCCGGCACCGCCGCGCCATGTCCTGGCGCAATGATATTAACGGGACCACCACAATGGTGGTGCCACCGGGCACGGCCCACGCGGGTAACATGAATAACATGCTTTTGCCACCCCCTGTGGGCATGATGGCCACCACCGGGCTGCGGCCCTGCTGGATCGCCGCCATGACGGGGCCCTGGACCCCGCGGAACTGCATGCAGGCCTGGCCGGTCATCTGCTGCATCGCCATGGTCATGTCCATGGCCTGCAGCTGCTGCCGCCGCTCCCACTGGTGCTCCTCGGCCTCGGCCTGCCATGGCGCGCGCTTGCGCTTGCCTAATGTCGTGGTGGCTAGGCTAACTCTAACCCTAATGTCTGCATGGCCGCTGGGCTGGCCATGGCTAACCCTAACTGCTTGCGAACCGCTTGGGGCGCGGGCCCCATTGCCTGTGGGCTGGGGCTGACCACCACGACTACCATCATCCTCGTTATCCTAGCTAAACCCCAAAAACTCATGCCACTCCACGCTGGACTGCCGGAACATGGCCCGCTGGTGGCTGGTCGTGCCTGCCTGCTCCATGATCTGCCGCGCGTACACCATCCCAGCCACATGTGATGAATGCGCCGCCTGTAAATCCGCGATATGCGACATCCACTGCTCTACGTCCATCCCCTCCTCATGGTCGGCATCTAACTCCATCACGGCCGGCTGCTCCTTCTTGTCATGGGCGTCGCTTCTAAACGCGCTGGCCCCGCGCATGAACCGCCGGCTGATCCTAATGGCGATGTCCCGGTACGCGGGGATGTTTAATGCCTGGCCTAACCGCGCCTGCGTCTCGCGCTTTAACACCTCGCGGAACCGGTCGGACGTCCACGCGCGCTATGTGCCAGCATCGGGGCCCCATAAATATGGGCTGGCTAACCCTAACCCTGATGCTGTGGCGGCGCCTATAGGCTAGGTGGATGGGCGGGCTAACCCTACCCTGGGCGCGCGAGCTTGGGCATCCTCCCTATCCCTATTAAACCCTAACCCTAATCCCCTGCCTACTGGCTGGGCTACTAGCTGCGGCGCTGGCTGCTGCTGCGCTGCCTGCCACGCGGTTAACTACTCTGTGAATGGCAACACCAACCACATGTACCACACGATCAACTCCCCTACCGCCCGCGGCACGTACCAGTGGATCAACTTGATGTCATTACTCGCGTGGAACCCCTTGTGGTACGCCGTCACGGCCGTGACCATCCCATCCTCAATAAATATGTTCCGGTGCCGGCTGGCCTGCGTGTTAACATGCTGGATGCTCAACAGCTCGGGCGCCCGCGCGGGCTGGCCGCCCGTGACGTGAATGGCCACGGCGAGCTTCTCCTTGAACCGGGCCACGCGGGTCAAATACTGCGCCACTAGCTAGGCCTGCACCTAGCCGCGGCGCATAAACTGGCACTGCATGGCAGGCTCGCTACGCAGCCGCTGCACCAACCACTGTTTCCCATCTACCGGCCACCGCGTGCGGGTATCCTGCAAAAAACACCACCCCTTCTAGCCCTGCGTGGGGTCATCGTACAGTCCGGACCATGGGATGGGTGGGAAATTGGTGTTACTGGTGGTGGTGGTGGTGGTAGTGGTGGTTATGGTTAGGGATATATATAATACCTCCCACAGCAGCTCGCGCGCCGATCCCACCAAGCCATGAATAAACCCGCGGAACGCGCTCATGGTGAAATACACGTCCTTGTATAACAGCTCGTCACTACCCATCCATCCCACATGCCCTGGCGTGGTGGTGTTATAATGCACCTTTAACCCGTACGTGCGCCAATCCAGCAACGTCTGCATGGGGCCGTGCGTGCCGCGGATCATGAAGCTGCGCACCATCTGCTAGACGTGGTCGTGGAACAGCTTCCCACCTACACCTAACCCTAATCCTGATGGCGATCCTGATGGTAATCCGATGGGCGGATCCCCTGGATGGATATCCACCAGCTGGTCGTCCACGCTGGCCAATGGCCATGTAACGGGGCTGCTACCACTACCTGGCTGCCACTGGCCCGTCCACATGCGAATGATCTCCTTGGCATGGGGATCTAACCATAACGCCTTCTGCACCACCATGAAGCGCGCCACCTTGAGCACGCGGGATAATATGGGCGGGTAACTGCTGGGATCGCGCCAGCGCGCCTCGCCCCATCCTTGCACGGCCATGGCGCACACCAGCGCGCTCTCGTACTCGTGCGTGCAGTGGCGCTGGTTCATTAGCTCAATACAAAACTCCAAGCATGCTTGCTCTATGGGGGTCATCCACCACGCCTCCACCTCGGCATCTATAGCCTCGACCCCATCCCCATTATCCATCTCCTCGTCCGTCTCCATCACGGCTGGGCTGCTACTACCTGGGCTGGTACTGGCGCTGGGGCTGGCACTCCACACGTCCTCAATGATCTGGCCTGCCCCGGCGAACGTATGGATAACCCTCACCCCTGGCCTGGCTCGGGCTTGCGCACGTGCTTGGCCACCAGCTTCAGCTTCAGCTTCGGGCCTCGCGATGGCCGGCATGGCCAGCTACCATAATGCCTGCCACTTCTAGCGCTGCCGCGGGGTCATCCCATACGCGGGCAACCTCCCTAGCCACTTGCCATGGCCATGGCCACTGCCATCACCTTCATCACCATCCTCCTGGCTATTACTATCCCTATCCTGGCTTGGGCTTGCCTGCGCGGCCTGCGTGCGCGCGATGAATGCCAACACCTGCTGCCATGGCTGCACGTGCTTCTCAATGCTGGCCTCGTCCATGTACGCCTGCAGTGGCTTGTATGGCGTCTGGCCGGCCTCCGTACGGGCCGCCTCCACGCGGATGCCCGCGCCGCACTGCTACACCGTCCGCTGGCTGCGCCGCGCTAGCTGGTCCATGGCGTCCCAAATCACCCGCACGCCCTGCTCTATGAGATCTGCCTTGGGATCCTCTACCTCCTCTACCTCCACGGGGGCCTCCACTAGCTGGCGCAAATCCTGCGGGTGCACCCCGTCCAAATACCTTGCCCACCCTGTCATGCGCAGCCATGGGTTGGCATCCATGGCCTCATCTGCCTGGATGGTGGCCTACTCTACCTCGCGCGCCCGCGCCTGCTCCCATGCGATGACCATGGCATCCACAGCCTGCTGGGCCTGCTCCGCGGGTGGGGGTGGGCTTTGGTGGCCGTCTAGGTATTGAATCTAGATGTAATGGGACCCAACCCTGGATGGGAACACCTGCTGCCATGCTACCTGCCTGAATGACTGTGCTAGCTCGGCCTCCCCGCGTGCCTTCTCCCGCTGGCCCACGCAGCCACTGCGGCTCTGCTGGGACCACTAGTGGATGGTCTTCCAGTGCTTCCGCATGGAATTCATGCTAGCAGCCACGTACTGGCACTGCGTGGGGTCTCGCTGGCATAATAACCCATGGGCGTGGCATGGTAATATGGGCAGTGGGTCGTCTAATACACGGGGGATCTGGATGGCCTGGCTATCCTGCTGGACATCCCCCCACTGGTAAATGGCGTGGGCCACCTGGCTGGCTGCGTCGTGACTATACTGATGTCGCCGCTTCAAATGCTGCTGGACATCTACTGGTCGTACACCATACTAGCACGCGCGGCAAATGATAATCTGCAAGCTAGGGATCTTCTCAAATAACTAGTTCTCCATGGTATGAAACAAAATTAATAAATTAAATAACCAACTGAAATCAAATGCGTGGAAGTCATGCGGGATGGATCATCTACATGGGCATGGGCATGGGTATTAATGGGCTTAAAAAAATCACCTTCCCTGATTATAAATAAATATTTGTATTCGTGGTTCCCATGGCAGCTCGCTGCATGAGGAATCTAGCTCACTCTTGCTTTGCTTTTTCCTATTACTACTCTCTACTACTCCTGCGCTGTCTCTATCCCGCGCTGTACCTCTCATCCCGTCCCGCGTGGCAGCATACCCTAATAAAACCTGGTAAAACCTGGCTGCCTTTACACCCATGCTATAGCTTCATCTTACGTCCATGTGGCTTCTACTTTTTAATTACCTGAAGAATAAGTGCCCGCCCATTCACGCCATCTGATTTTTAAAGCCCAGGAACGCCCATGGGAGATATAGATGGATGACCTTTTTAATCTGAATGGATGAACTTAGCGCGAGTTTTCCCCGGCCGCTAAACCCCATCGGGCCGAACCCCAATGCCGATGGACGTCCATCGGGTTACCCCCCCTGGGTTAGCGGCGGCGGGCTCTGGCGCTGGCCGTCTGGGTATTGAATATGGATGTAATGGGACCCCTTACGCGTGGGGAACACCTGCTGCCACGCCACGCGCGTGTACGAGCGCGCCAGCTCTGCCTCCCCACGCGCCTTCTCCCGCTGGCCCACACGGCCGCGGTGGTTCTGCTGGGACCACTAGTGGGCTGTATGCCAGTGCACGCGCATGGACGCCATGGTGGATCCAATGTAATGGCACTGCGTGGGGTCCCGCTGGCTTAACAACCCGTTGGCGTGGCATGGCAGCACGGGCAGCGGGCAGTCTAGCACCCATGGGATCTGGATGGCCTGGCTGTCCTGCTAGATGCCCTCCCACTACCGGACGGCCTGGCTGACCTAGGTGGCTTGTTAGTGGCTAAATCAATGCTTCCGCTTTAAATGGCGCTCTACCTCGGCTGGCCGTACCCCATGCTTACACTGGCGGCAAATGATTACCTGCAAGCTAGGGACCTTTTCAAATAATTGGTTTTCCATGGGGTGAACTAGTTAACAGCCAGTTCGCGACACTGCTGGGTAAATGATTAATTCTAGATAGGTGGATGGGCGGATAATAATAAATAATAACCATGATAATAATCATGGGATGAAATGGGATGAAATGGTTAGGCTATATGGTTTCCATGGCAGTGGTAGCCCAGCCATATGATACGTGAGCGTGGGAAGTTAAAAGTTAATTAAAGGGGGATCTACCACTCCCCGCATGCCGGCCGCCCCGCCCGTCTATTCTACCTGCCCGCCTGCGAACCCCAACAAAAAACTTGGCCACCTTTAAACCAACTCCCACACCCTTGGCTATTGATCGCAGTGGCCCCTGGCTGATACTAGCTACTAATAACTCCCTTCCCCGCCCACTCGCCAAGTTTGAGCCGCCTGGAGCGCCGGGAAGCTAATATAAGATATGCAAGGTCTTCTAGGTCTAGGATATGCAAAGTGGAGCCAGAGCCGGCCAATCAGCCACCAAAGCCGGGAGAACCCTAATTCAAAGATAGGTTTCTTACATTACCCCCCCTGGGTTAGATTCTACTAATAATAAATAATATTAGTAATCCTAATCCTAATTAGGTTAAAAAAAATAGAAGAATCTAGAAGGATCTCCATTGATCTAGGCCTGGTTAATATTGGTACTGCAAGAAGATACTACTTCTTGCAGTACCAATATATAAGACCTAACGGGAATCGAACCCATGACCTTCTAGTTCTATATAGGGGCTGCTAACCACTAGGCTATTCACCCTAGTTATTAAAAATCCTTTCTGGACCTTCTACATAAAGCGCCCCTTAATATCTTTAACCTATCATAACTTCTTTATTATTAGGGCTAGCGCCCTCGGACCTAGTGCATAATATACCTAATTTTATAGAGAAAATTATAAAAATATATAATTATATTAATAATCCTAGCTTATAAAAAAAATAAATAAATAAAAAAAGGAGGAATTTATTAGGACTGGGAGACTAGTAGGTGGAGGTATATATATTAATTATATATATATATATATATATAACTAAGGATAGATAGAAAATAAGTAGATTTAATATTCTATACTCTACTATAGGTAATAACTATATATTACCTTTTTAGCCTTATATAAGCCATATCATATTATCTTAATATATATTATTAGGGAAATTAGGGAACAAATTAATACTATAAATATATTATATATATATATATATAATATATCCTTAAAAGTTGCTTAGTTTCTAGTAATAAAATACTCTAATAATAATAAACCTTTTTTAGGTTGTATATATATATATGTATATATATATATAGAAAATAATAAATATAAGCTTTTATATATTTAGGATAGTAAAGTAGGATCTACCTTAGGAATCCTCCTACTACCTCTACCTTTATAGGGGCCTCTACTAGCTAGTATAAATCCTATATGTATATACTATCTAAATACCTATCACGGTCGGAGCGGCCTAGATGCCTGAAGGGTCAGGCCCCTGGTTGGAACGGTTCAGGTACATGAGGTGCCTGAGGGATCAGGCTCATTAGGAAGGGCCGACAGCCAGGGGTTGACTAATTAACTTAGTTAACTTAGCTAATCCGCTCACACAACCTAAGGAGGTTGGCTGAGGGGTGAGCTAAGAGGTTAACTAAGGAGATTAAGAGACCTTAACTTAACATCATCCTTTTAATAGCTGGTTACTTAGGTCCCCTGAAGGTCCCAGATATCTTGCGAAGCAAGGATTAGTTTTGTCCTAATTCTATATCTACCTTGGTAATATTATACCTGATCAACTTCTCTTTAAGACTCTTATAATACCTTACCTACTTACCTACTCTACCTCCTACGCCCGTGCCTGCTCCGCCATGGCTACTATGGCGTCCACGGCCTGCTAGGCCTGCTCTATAGGTGGTGATAGGCTCTACTAGCCATCTAGGTATTAGATATGGATGTAATAGGATCTAGGGCTGAATAGGAATGCCTACTACCATGCTACTAACCTAAATAAAGAACTATATAAGCTTAGCCTCCCCACGCGCCTTCCCCTACTAACCTATACATAACTTTATCCTAGTCCTAGTCCTAATCCTGGTCTATATCTATGGTAATACATGGCTGCTTAGCTAGCCCCATGTCCTGGTCCTAGTCCTACTGCCACGCCCGCTTGCGGGGCCCTAGGTACGTCTCAAAGCCCAGGAACCCATGCCACTCGTGGCTAATCACCCGGTACTACCGCCGCCGCGCCTCCACATGGCCGGGCGCCTCCTGCAGCCCCCGCGCGTACACAGTGCCCGTGATCCAGCTCCCATGGCTAGCCTGCTCATTAAACGCGGCGTCGTCCATGCTACCGTAGTCCCGCTTGAAGCCGCTGCACTTTAGGTGCACGCGCGAGATCGCGATGGCCACGTGGCGGTAGGATAGGATATTCAGCTTCGTCTATAGGTGCGCCTGCGCCTCCTACTATAGGACCTTCCACAGGCGTTCGCTCGGCCAGCTCCCCCCCTGGTCCCCTCCGCCCGCGGCCGGCTAGAGGAAGGCCGAGGCGGGCCCGTGGTAGCCCCGGGCCAGCCGCTCCAGGGCCTCGCGGAAGGGGAGGATCAGCCAGAGGTAGTAGACCACTAGCTCGCTCACGGCCTTAGGCAGGTAGCGGTGGATGATCTTAGTGGTGTTACTAATAGAATAGCCCTTATAGTACGTGGTGACCGTGCTAACCAACCTATGCTTGATAAAGATGTTCCGGTGGCGGCCCTATAGGGTGTTGCAGTGGCGTAGCCCTAGCAGCTTAGTGGCCCGCGCAGGCTGGCCACTAGT